TGGCATCAGATCTCTCTTTTGCTTACTCTGAGTCGTCTAGTTTGAAATAGAAATTACATAAACTGTTTTTCTGTGACACCAGAAATTTGACCTGCAACATTCAAGAAAAAAAGATTTGAAAAGTGGTTAAAAAACCCTGAATGCATCCTCAGGTAAGTGCACGAAGCTGAACTATTCTCGCAGTCTTTGTACTAAGGAGACGGCTGGTTAAAGACTGTTTAGTGTCCAGTGGAACATTTGTGTTGCCACATGCACCTCTGTTGGGTAAGTCCAATAAAAGTTCAGGGATGTAGCGTGAAAGCGGCTTTAGTCATGCAACAAAGAGCCAGCTGGAACTGGTGCAACTGAGGCCGCAGTGTTTGAAATTTCAAAATCGCTAAGCTGCACAGTCAAGTAGGTTTACAGTGAATCGGGCACAAGCAAAAACAGACGTCCAGCGAAGTGGGTGTCAAATCCTTTAACCTTCACCTGGTGACCTCGCAACACCACAATCATACCCAGTGCCTGGCAGACTGCAAAGACTTGTTAAAGCATGAAGGCTTTGAACTTTGAGCTTTCTTTTTTTTATCTAATTCTTTTTAAAAGGAAAGACTACCCATCTTGTGAGATTATGTACAATCCAGTCCATTTAAGCAGCAATCTGAGCCCTGACATCTCACAGATATTCACTGGCGGCTGGATAACGGTGCACGACACAGAGCATTAAGGGGTAGGGTAACATGACCAAAGAACAAGACACTGAGCGCAAGATTTGTACAACCGCCTGATTGTCAAACACATAGATGTTCAAACAACAAGGCCTGTCCACTTCTATCTATTCTCTGCTGCTCCTTTGTCCATTGTTTATTAATATGCTCCTCCATCCTTGCTGACAGACTGAGCAATGTTCATTACTCACAAGGAGAAAGCTCAAACACTCCCGCAAATGAAGACTGCATAGAGTTTTTGCTCACGCTGGCCCCGATGAAGAAAAGTGATGCCACTGCAGCCTTGACTGGGGTGCTAAGAAAACACCTGCACTCCCAGACCCACCTTAATGATCACTCGACGCAATGGGAGAACTTTAATGGGGCCCTGGAAGGGAGGAAGGAAGGAAGCTGCCAGCTTGCTAATTTTAGGCACTCTGCATCTCAGATGAAACACTGGAAATGGCAGAGAGGAGGCGTGGAGAGGCGGGAAAGATTTCTGTCTCTCACTTTTGACTTTCTGCATCACGTCTCTCTAACCATCATTACGCCATGCATCCGGTATGAGAGAGTCTCAGAGCTCTTTGATTCTCTGAATCATTTCTCCCTCTCTTCCTGTTTCCTAGCCCTCTCTTTCCCTCCCTCACTTCCCAGCTTTCTCTGCCTCATCCTTCCTTTTTCCAACTCTCCCTTTCATTCGCACCTCCCTCCCCTTCTGCCAGTACCTGAGTAAATAAACAGTGTTGTGTGGGATGTTAATTAGAGCAGGTTCAGGGACGCGAAGAGCCCAGAGATGGATAAACAGCAAGGTGGGGAGGAGAAGAGATGAGATGGAGGGGGTGGAGGTGGAGGTAACCCACCCCAAGGGCAACACAACACACGAACACGTCAGATTAGCGGTGAAGGACAGACAAGAATGGTTTTGGCTTTCAACCTAACTGAAGCACTGAAGCAAAGGGAGCGTAGCAAAGCAGAGGACTTTAAGGGGCTTGCAGGGGAGTAAAGGGCACTGCCAGAGAAGGGTTCACATACTGGAGCTTTGGCCATGTTGAGAGGAAGAAAAAATGTTGTGTGAACCTTCTTAATGACGCCTGCTTCTAGAGACCCAGTGTGAGATCAAAAGAAATGCAGATGAATCCAACAGTTAAAACAAAAACAGGTCAATGTGAGGCAGCTTTTCCATATTTAACGTTGAATTGTCTTTCTGGTGGGGGGAGGGGGGGTAAGCTGCAGGATGTGTAGGTAAGAAGGTAATGTTACAAAGGAGAGGTAAACACAAACAAGTACACTCACACAAGTGATGAATGTACCTCATTCATCACTTAAAACATTGCATCCCAACCTTTGGGATTCAACAAACACGTCACATGGGCTCAGGAACGCTGTTACTAACAACAACTGTGACTTTCAAATGTGCTCATTATAAACTGGATCCAGCCTACTGTCCACTTTCCATTTACAGTTACAAATTAGGAATAAATAAAGAAACTGTCTTTTAGTTACTGCTACATATAACAGGTAATCTTTGTCTGTAGGGACCATTCGCGGCACACCTTTGCATCATTTGCAGCCAGAAGTTGTAACAATTCATCCATTCATCTTGTTAGCCAGGTGCACTATTTGATGCTTAGCTGGCAAATGTAACCATTTATACTTTTAGCTAGCCAAACACACTTTATGCTAATAATTCCAGCTTATCCTCTTTGTTCGGCTGATAATTCATTTTTTTATCCACATTAAAGCTAACAAATTGACCTGCATCCTTTAAAATTTAAACTTCTATTATATTATTTTACGTACAGTAACTACTAGCATATAACAGAAACCAAATGGAACCATTTATAAAAGGGACCTGATCTTAAATAAATCTCTAAGTGACCTTTAAAACACAGTATGTGCATTGCTGACTTGTGACTATTGTTTTGTATGAAACCGTCTAATCCAAGGTGAGACAGATCATTGGGTGAATCTGAGTTCTGGTCAGTAGCTTTACTCCCACTGAAAGTTCCTTCTTACAGAAAGGTTCATGATTTTGCTAACAGCAATTGTGCCCAAGATTTGATGTCCAACAGACTGAGAAGCCAAAGCAGCCTTTGCAGTCCATTTCTACACAGGTAGGGGGAAAAAACCGAGGTAACTTTACTCTATAGGAAGTTTGATGTCGGAATTCTAATCAGCCTAATGCTTGTTATGTTGGCACATAACTGCATACAGCAACCCACACAGTCATTTTTCAGATTGCTCCGCTGCATGTGATAATTGTTTGTGTGCTATCAGAGCTTGTGCCAGACACTGGGCTTTGTGTTTGCTGTGGGTGCTTTTGTTATGAAATGACAGCGTGTTTGCTTAATCAATCACAATCATCGGCAGCAGCACCCTCCCCTGCAAGAACATTATGGATCATGTTCTGTAGAGACACTATTCCAGAATTTCTGATAGCATGGAATAAAACAACTGGGATATAAAAATGTTTTTATACTTTCTTATGGACATTTCATGAACTTGTCGAGGTTTTGCATTTTTTTAAAGCCTCTGAGATAAACCATTTCCTCCTCTGTACTCAGGCTGTGTGGATAATGTGTGTGTGCGTGTAGAAAGCGTGAATGTATGGGTGTACAGTTAATGTAAAATTGAAACCTGAAATGATTTCAAAATACTCAGAATGAGGCGTTTTTAAAAATTCAAAAGGAAAATCATTATTTTATCAACACTACTCGAAACTCAAAGCAGGCAGAGATCCACGAGGAGAAAAGAAGATCTTTCTGTCTGCAAAAAGCTACTGCGCTCGAACATCAGCTCAGATTTCATTCTGCGCCCTATGATTGTGTGTTTTAAAGCTTAGCATTCAGATTCAAAGTGACAGACTTTGTGACAAAAGACTTACTGGATAAGGTTCATATTTCCTAAGTTTGTTAAACTGTTTGATTTCTTTATTACACACACTCTTTAAGTGTTAAATGCACCAGAAATTAGTTTCCTGAGAAACAGTAATTTTGCAATGTTTAAGTACACTATAACTCTGTTTCTAAAAAAAAATAACAAACTGTAGAACAAAGTGATTTGTAATCATTTGCACTCTAATTATTATTCCTGCAGTAGCCTAAGCTGCTCCAGCAGAGTGGCTCAGTGGCTGACAGTGCTGTGCTCGAACAAACATCTCCCACTGGTGACTGTGTTTAACTGTGAGCTTTACTAAACCTCAGCAGGAATGGTCAAATCGCCTTTATCTCCATGTATGATGTCTTCAGAAATTGTCTGTCTATCTCAGTCTTTGTTCACAGTCCATAAATCGAGCATCTGCTAAGGAGTCTCTGTTGGATTATAAAACCCAACTAAGACAAATGCTGTCTGGCAGGATCAAAGGCGAACTCGGACTGTAATAATCACTGATGCCGCTGTTAAATTAACCAGACGCTGCTCACTCCAGTGGGAGGGATTCCTCTCTTCTGGCAGGCGGTAGACCAGGTAAAAGAAAAGACAGGAAGTCTGTGGAAAAACGTCGAAACAGCTTGGAATCTCTACCCTACCAAGAAGCAGCGTTAACTGATTATGTAATACGCAATATTTAATGTTGCTCTGAGATGTTGCATGATTAAAAGACATCCCCAGATTAGGGACACATCACTAATGACAGGGGAAGGAAACCTTGGCGTTACACGGACTTGCATAAGCTTTTAATCTCACGTTAAGTCCACCTCAAACACTGATGAAGAGATGAGAAAGAGGAAGGTAGGGAGGACTGCCACGTATCTAAGAGGCCGAGGAAGAGAGGGGAAATGTGGGATATGTGATGGCTGGATGGACGAGCTATTTTTATAATGAGGTCAGTGTGAGCTGGGGGATTTCATTCCCCTGGGATGGACACACACACACACACACACACACACACACACAAGAACTGTGGTGCTGTGATGCTTCTGCCGAGTGAGACCGTCTCTGTCCACAGGAAGATGAGGAGGAGGAAACCCAGAGCTACCCAGGTCTTTTTGCCATACCCTGATTAATCCATCTCTGCTACTAGAATGAGAGCCGATCTTTAATTATGGAACACGACTGACATTTTCTGATATCTCTAAAATGTTTTAAAATCCTAACATAATGACAGTAAACCCTGCTCTCTACAGCCATCACATAATTGCATTCTCTAGTCCAATTTTTAATTCAAACTTTCCTTAACTTCTTAGTGTTTTTAATTCATCGGCTGAAAGCAGCAGGTACAATGTTTTGCTGTGTGCTGGTGTAGCACTTCAATGTCTCTGCATGGGGTCAATAAGGTTTATCTTAAAACAACTGACGTAGACCTGAGGTGTTTACCGATTGGATGATCTTTCCTTCCTTTTCAGCTGCTCACTTTCTGGTTGGTGCCCAGGTTGTGGTCCCCTCCCCCCCAGTCTCCGCACTCCTCCTGTGAAGACACATCAACCCTTTCAATCATTTTTTTCCCAAATAGACAAAGTCAAAGCAATCACAAAATTTTGGTAAACGCTGACACAGATGTGGTGGATTATGGAGTCCCAAAGGGATCAAAATTATAATGGTGGGATAAAAATAACAAAAAAAAACCCAGGAAATAAAGAATAAAGTTTAAAGAATTATTTAAAAAAATAAAATAAAATGAGAAAAATAAGCCAATCAACAATTAATAATAATAATTACCCCACCTAATAACACAGTAGTTCAGAATATGCTAACTGTCAAGCTAACTAGCAAGGTCAAAACTGTATTATTACTCTGCATCAAAAATAAAGAACCCATCTTAGCAGACAGCTAATTCAGTTTTGCTGTAGTACCAGTATGTGAGGAGCAAAAAGCTGACTTTTTTTGTTATAGTAGCCAAATTTAACTAGCGAGCTAGTTAGCTAGAGAGACTCAATAGCCTCAATAACTCTAAATATGCTATCTAACTGGCACGCTAACTAGCAGGGTTGAAACTGTTTTAGCTTTAAAATATTTTAATTAGCATTAAAACAAACACAACAATCACCCTTCTTGTTTCTAATCTGTGATTATGGTGTAAAAACTAAAGTTATTATATCTAGAGACAATAAAAATAATTAGTGAGAATACCTTGAGTAAAATTAATCTATAAATTGCAATTATTTTAATTACTTTAACTTATTTTAACTACTAAAAAAAATACATGAAATATTTAAAATCCCATTGATTTAATTTAATGTTGAAAAAGCATAAATGTATTCCATTAATTATCTGGAGAAATATTGTGGTAGCTGATCAGAAATTTAAAGAGCAAACTGGTGTGATAACAGACTGCACAGGAGTGACAAGGTTTACACCCTAGCATGGCTCTGCATGGCCTGTTTCAGAAGTTTGCGCGCACACACACTATATCAACAAATTCTCTCTTGCAACCCCTCGCTCGCTCTAAACGCCTGTCGCTTTGACCCTCCATTAAGCTGAGCGAGTGCTCGTTTAGCCAACAGTGTCTCAGCAGTTGGGGACGCAGGCTGCCCACTCAGTCAAATCCAGCCGTATTAAATAAATAAGGAGCGCTCTTCTGTGTAAATTATTCATTTAACACGCCTTATCCTCCTCCAACAACCTTGTTAGAGCAACTCAGGAGTCGAAGGGGGGGGAATGGGGCAGGGGTGGGGCAAAAGGAGGAGGAGGGGAGCAGACACCGCGGCTCATGTGCGACTCAGCAGAACCTGTGGTGCATCTCTAAGCTCTCTGGGCGTTCAGTTGTAGGGGGGCTAATTCGCTCTGACACCTCCTTTGTTTCAGGCGGAAAAGTGCTGCATACACAGCTCCGTGTTCGCTCGCACTCTCTACACACTGACATGCACAAACTTGGAGAGAAAGAGCACAAGAATGGAATTTTTAGTGCATATTCATATAATAATCATTCTAGTTGTCTGGATAAATTATTGAGAAATAGGAGGCCAGGACACGCGATGCTGGAACGTGAGGGCTGCATTTGTTTTCTTGCTGCCTCAACTCGAATCAGACAACACAGCGAGTCATCCGCTCTAAACAAGCTGATTCTAATGAGCCGGGATGCTAACCTTGAGGACAAATACGCGACAGTACAGAACACCTCATATCTCAAGAGTGCACTCACGGCACGTCTGAGAAAACGTTTATGCAAGCTGGAGTAAAGCACACAATAAGCATCTTTAGCATTTTCTTCATATATATTTTAGAATATAAATATCACACTGACCCTTTATTTTCAACTCAAAGTCAGCTGCACTCAAAGAACAGTTAATTCCTTCTGATTAGGTGGTCTAAAAGCTTAAGTAATAAGCTTCAAAGCAGAGTGTAATTCTTTCCAGGTATGGGGGAATTAAAAGTAAAGTCTTTCATACTTTAAGTCTGAGTTTTAACGCCATTTAAGTCTAACCTCACACCATGTGTCACAGTTTGTAGAAAAGAAAGTCTGAATTTAAAGGAGACGGGGTTTTTTATTAGCACACATTACACTAGACTGGTGAGGCCTGACCGTCAGTCTGCAGCTGAATCAGGATCAGCCCGGCGCAGACCGACACACTCACTCTCTCTCTCTCTCTCTGACTCCAGCGTTCAGGCCCAGAGCGGGAGGTTGTTATGTCAGCTCTGACAGTGCTCATTACCAGCCTCTACGCTCTGGATTGGAGTTAACAGGCTTTGGCGCAGGCGTAGGCCAGTTAGACCCGACTGGTACAATGGAATCAGTGTGTGTATGTGCCGAGAGTTAATCACAAAACATTCTTTCATTTCTAAATCGCACCTCGGGGCCACTGTACATTACAGAGGCACCGATATGCTATGTGCAATGACATCTACTGCTTATTTCCATTCTCACTTGAGAAAAGTGCTCCATACGAGGGCTGGCCGCTCAGCTTCCGCATGCCAAAAAGCTTCTGTTGAAGTGTTGGTGCACTGCTGTGCATCATTTCTGATTTATCGTGGAGAAGTTCTCACTCGAGTGTTTGGATGGCTGAATGAAAACGAGATGCTTTTGCTCTCTTATCAGGGAGACAAGAAGTTAAACAAAGTTGTTTTGAAATCTAAATAGTCTGTGGAGGAGTATTAGGACCACGTTCAGCAGACGACAACTGTAATCTTCACATTTCGACTAATCTTGAAATTAAGATAAAATGAAGCTGCAGTTTAAAAGTAATCTTGTCACAACAAGTCACAGATTACTCATTTACACTCTGCCCGACTCTGCTTGGATCAGCTGGGTGTTGGTCATGATGGACCTACTACACAACCCTCACAGCGCGGTTCCTCCCATCTCTTCTTTACCTTTCTTGTCTGATATAAATGCCAATACCGATGTATCAGAAAACAGGCCGACAAAATCATGCAATAAGCTCTTTGTCTGTCCGTGTATACAGCCTACTGTGGTGACTGTTGTTCAGCAGGTGGGTAGATTAGTGGGTCGGTCTCTTGCTCGTTCCAGTCCACATGCTTTAGTAGAGCTACTTCAGCAGCGACTGATCTCTGATGGGGGTCACCGCCCCTCGAGGAGTAGCATCGGGAATTGAAGCGTGGATTTCTTGCTCATTAGCCAAATGTATAAACCACTACACTATGAAGGTTCTTAGTCTATACAGTCAATCAACCAATCAACCACTTACAAATAGATCTGATCTGAACTTTGGGTATAAACCACACCTGTCCACAGAAAAAACTTCTTCCATTCCAGCCACCATGGGCAAGACCAAAGAGCTGACAAAGGACATGACAGGACTGTAGACCTGCACGAGGCCGGACAGAGGTACGAGCCATCGACAAGAACCTTGGTGAGAAGGTGAAAAATGTTGCGATCATTTAGAAACAGAAGAAATTTCAATGTCAAACTCTGTGTTGTGTTGAAGTTCCAGTTCAAATATGCAATAAGTTTGAACAACTTTTCCTTAAAATAAAAATGCAGAAGCTTCTTACTGTGAAATCAACCGCTGTCACCCACGAAACAATATGTTAAGGAGTGGTTTGCTCTACGTGATCAAAGTCTTTTGGAACTTACAAATTTTCTTGCACGCTTAAATTTGCAGGTTGCAGAAGGGGGGGATTATCCAACCAGTTCTATACATGCCACCAACGTGCGCCACCTAGAGGAAAGAAAAGCAGCACAAGTCAAGATTTAAACATTTCTCATTTATGTCCACAGACATTACAGCTTAGAAGCTTAATACGTAAAAGTAAAGAGATTTACATGATAGTTGTTTTGGTGTTAGCAGTTATCTGTTGCTGTCATATGGATCATTACACCGGCTCTGGTCTATCCTGCTGCTTTCAGGTGTCTCTGCAGGTCTTGCCCTCCTTCTCTGCCCGTCCCCTCTCAGCCCCGTAACCACCAAGAGGTGATTACACTTGATTAAGGCCTTCTACTTCAAACAGACCTGATGTTTATACAGCCCCTGATATGGCGGATAGGATAAAGAGCAGGTTGAGTTCTGTGTTTGTGTCGGTGTGCATGTGTATTTGTGTTTGCCTAGATGGGAGGATGAACACCATTACACCTAGGCTTTGTGTACATACGATTGTAATGACAGCCTGTATAAAACATGCGGTGTTGTGTTGTTTATCATTAGGGGTGACTGTAGTTCATCGATGCAGTGTTTCTTCCCAGCCTAATTTTAAAAAGTTGTGGAAAACCTACTACCTTAACTTTGATTTAAAAGTCCAATTTTTAGACACGAGTGTGCCCCAACTCAACTACACCTAAATGCACCTACCTATGAGGCGGTGCCTCCTTATATGAGCTCTGCTGTATGTCTAAACCTGGGCATTGCCAAGCCCGTCATATTGCTTTCCATATTTTTCTAATCTCTAGGCAGAAAGAGGAGGACAAAAGTGTGAGGTGTCCCGCAGCTGCAGCACTGCAGCCTGAATTAGCCCCGACCACATGAAAAGCTTTCGTCTCTATTCCAGGCCAGGGCGGGAAAATTACAGCCCTACTCGCTTTACTCTAGCATTAAACCTCAATTAGTGCACAAGTACGCCAATGATGTCATCACCCAGGGACCCAAGAGCCCTGGAAAGAAGGGGCGCTGAACAGTGAGATACGCTCACAAACCACGTTGCTTCGAACTTTCGGGCCCATCTTCTCAGCCGCTGAGAAACTCAGTTTGGCGAGGAATAAGGTGACGCTCGTGCGATACGGCCTGGAAAAACAAACGTGCAAAAGAGGCTTGTGGCCTGGTTTGGCTAAATTTACCAGGAATTTTAATTCTGAGATGTAACTCGAGGTTTCCCAAGAGGAGAGAGAGGTCAGCGAGGTAGGACAAGAAAAACTCTGGTTTGACCCTCGGTGACCTGGCAGGAGACAGAGGAGGAGGTGGATGAGGAGGAGGGTGACGAGGCCTGGCTTCTATCCAAAAAACACACTGAGAGTTCACGCTGCCCTTCTCTCAGCAAACCACTTACATTACACAACAAACTTACATAATCATATGGAGGACTACAAAAAGCCAGCTGTAACAGCACCATATCACAATGATGCTACACTTCATTATTGCTGTCACATATCTGAGCATTATTTCTGTTAATATAACTGACACTGGCCTTCATTACAGGTTTTGGAATGAGCTTTTTGGATACAGTTTTTTACTTTTAACTGGGAATCAGAGAACGTTTCCTTAAAGGACTGAAAAAGCCGTATCTGGAATTGATCAAATCGAAATCTTAATTAGAACCTATCCTGTCATAAGTGGTATAGTAACCAAACCTGACGTTTCTGCTTCTTGCTCCACCACCATTAACTGAATCGAATAAAATTTGAGAAAAACAAGAAGAAATTCTAAAAGTAAGACCCAAGCTCTAATAAAGTAATTCCCTTTTATCATAAACCCCAGACACAGCGCTCCCTGGATGTTTATTGTAATCAAAGGTAGTCCCCATGCTGTGGGGTCAATGTTCCTTCATGTCCTACAAAGAGGGGAGCGACTTCAGTGCAGCTCAGCATGGGATCACTCGCGGGCATCGCCTTGTACCCTTCTCTTTGTAACACCCTGTGAATAATGCATCGCAGCTCCCAGCAACTTCTCACAGGTTGTTTGAGCGAGCTGCTCGAGGACTACGGGTCCTCTTAGGTGTACCTCCACCTGAAGAGATGGATCACTCTCACATCTTCAAAGAGAAGTCAGTCAAACCATAGATTGTTAGTACTACCCCGTGGGTTTACAAAATGTTACTCGGTCTCTCACAGGTGCAGAGAAAGAGGATGGGGCCAGCATTTCTCAGAAAGTAGAACAAAAATTTTTTTCCCCTCTCCCATAGAGCCAAGCTCTGACAAAAACTTTGAGCAGCGGTGGGGGTGATGACGGGGGTGGTTGAGATCAAAAGCCTGCAAGTTCCTGGCGAGCGGACCCAATCAGCCGAGAGGGCCAAGGAGAGGAGGAGAGACAAGTGCTTCCCTTTTAAATTGATCCCACTGAGACCCTCAAGGTTCCCCTCGCAGGACTCGCAGAAAAGCGATAAAAATCTGGCCCTGTGGATCTGATGAGAGACTGGGAGGGGAGAAGGCTGAGAAGAAAGACTGTTTCGGGGGGGAAAGAGCGGCACAGAAAGAACAGAGAGGCACAGCGAGAGGAGATCAAGGAGAGACGAGAAGGGTGGGCTCATCCTCTGAAGGTGCATCCAGGCGGCGCCGTCGTGTGCCAGCGAAGAACCAGAGCAGTGAGGACCGGCACTATCAGCTATCTAAACCCATGTTACACGTCTGATCATGTGCTCAACCAATCAACCGTGGGTGTATCTTTATTATGCTCGGGTCCTGGCAGCCTGAAATATTGGCTCCTTCCGAGCTGGCCTGAGATCAGACTCTGGATGAGGCCGGTGTCGTTATCCGCAGCATGCTGGGGCCTCAAAGGAACACGCGCTATCAGAGCAACCCAGAGACCCCACAGCGTGCCAGACTCACCACAGACCTGCCCGAGTCGCCAACACAAACACCCAAATGTGCTCAATAAGGTGCTGTGAATTTGCATTTCCTTTCCAGGTCCACTGGATGTAGTTCATAGTAGAATAGAAAAGTTATTATCAGCAGGGGATCCCAGTTATCAAAAGCGGCAAATGCGTGCGTCTTATCAAATGTGACAGAAAAAATAAAGAAAATAATCATCTGCAAATCTCATTTATCACAAATTAGACTATGTCGATTCTGAAACGTCCACAGGAAGCTCTTGGTCTTCATTAGATGATGAAATAAAGCATACCTGGTTACAACTGAAATACATAGTTAGGTTTATAGTTTAAATTCAGATCCTAGACTGTGCTCACAGGTTTTTACCCTGCTTGTGCCTTAAAACAAACACAAAATGAGAATAAATAACAGAAACAGTCACCCAAAGAGCCAGTTTATAGCGCCAACATATTATGGAAGTCCTGTGACGGGTATGTTTCCTGCAGGGTCATCCTGGTAAAAACTGGGGATGTCTGAAAAAGATTTAAATTGCAGTGACAGAGCCATGAGTTTAAAGGCTGTAAACTTCTATCCAATAACATACGAGAAGAATTTACTCTATCATAATTAGCTTCTTTTTTTGTGGGCAGTTAATGCTATATGTAGACTCACTGCATATTTCATTTCATAAACCTTTTCAATTAAATATAAACTTTATGTATTTGATTGGCAGGCACAGTAGGATCTGGATGGCACTGTGTGCACTATACTGCTCTTTGCTACTCCACCAACAGCTGCATACGAGTGTGAACCCTCGGGCTCAAAGTGTGCTTGAAAACAACTAGTTTATATGACGTGCCTCTGACCGTCAGACAGAAACATTTTGCACCTTTTTTCCTCAAATGGTGGCACTCGAAGGCGGGGTGGCATTGCGGCTGTCGTGGAGAGGCGATAAGGGATAATTGTGTAACTGTGGGGATAATGACACACGTTTTCACACGGCTTCGCACGGAAGCCACTTGTGGTGATGCCCGTGGTTGTAAACATGAAAACTGAACAGCCACGTTCAGTGCTGCGAGCTGAGAGTGCTGCAGAAAGCTGCAGAAATGTTCGGACACCACGTAGCAAGAGGTGTGGAGGAAGGAAGGTTCAGATGCCGTCCGACCTGCCGACAGCCTTCTGTTTTTTGAAGAGCACACCGGCTCCTTTATTTCCATCTCTATGACTCACTGCATCAAGCACACAAAAAGACAGGAGCTCTTGGAAAGAGACTTAGGAGGCAGTGGGATGCTGCCTGGAGGATGATGGCATGCTCTCTGCACCACTTTCAACTTTGGACATTCAGAACAGCTATAAACACTTTTGCTTTTAGACACGGTCAGACACACTGTATGAAGTGTGAAGTATTTAATTTTAGGCATTCTGAGCCTGTTAGCGGGAGCAGGAGGCGGCAGGTGAGAGGTGAAGTCAGAAGGAAGCAGGCGGAGGAAACGTGAGCAGAGAAAAAGAAACATTCCTTGACTCGGCCAGAAAGAGGCCTGGTGGGCTAACTCTGAGCAGTTTACCCCAGCGGCATGATGTGAGTGACTAGATAACAGAGCTCCATCTGATAATCACATACTCTGCTATTACACTTCTTAGCTGTGTGACTGTAGCAGGCCAGAATAAGACAACCAAACTGTGATGGATAGCCCACGCTGAGCAAGAATAACTTACAGCCTCATAAATAAGCAGATCTCTACTAATATGATTACAGTAGCCCTGAGGCTGACACCCCCCCTCTACCAGCCACGCTCCTCCTCTCCTTATGACAAGCACCCTGAAATCACGTCAGCGTTCGACATCAATATTTTGACATTTCATTCAGCTGACTCTCCAGACGGAGCCATTTATTTAATTAGCTGAATCAAAATTGGCAGGAGCGGCAAATTCAAAGTTAACGTGACTGGGGCTCAGTTGCCACAGGTAACCTTTTTGGAAGGACTTACTGTGGCAAATTGATTGCTGAGAGCGCAGACTCATCATGAGTGCTAATTTTCAGAAGCGGCGCACGGCGGAGCAGGGAAATAAGAGGCTCTATTTATAACAGAAGGAAACAGCAGAGGGGGATTAGCCTGTCATTAGAATAAAAGAACCCAGAAGAAGAATCAATTTCAAGGTTTAAAAAGCTGACAAACTCAGTTCACTCGCTCGCTCGCTCTCCATCCTTCGCTGCTTCTTTCACCTCGGACAGACCAGCCTACAGTCGGCCACATATGAGCTTTCATTGAGGCGCCAAGCTCGGATTTCTCCCTCTTCTGCCCAAATGGAAAACTAAAACAGTTGTGTTGTTTTCTTCTAACAACGCCGTTGCTCCAGTCACCTGAAAAGTATCACACTGCTGCTTTTTGATTTAAGGAAATATTCCATCATTTTACTTTCTGTGGGTTTGACTTTGTGGGGAACAAATAGCATTGAAAGCTTGGTTAATCCACACTCAGTATTTTGTTTTTCAAAAATATCATCCAGCCAGATAATCCTAGCAGAGCTGTCACTATCACTACATTAAATCTCTTTGGCATGAGCCGCTTTGTTTACAGATTTCACGCTGCTCATTTCAGTGTTCGCCTCCTACAGAGGGAAGTGAGTGCGTTTGATTTAGAGGCAGATGAAATACTAAAGATGGCGTAACCGAACGTGTGCGGTTCACCTCTTATTGCAGATGAAAATAAGGAGGAGGACAATGACGACTCCCGTGCCAAAATCTTTCATCGAAGGTGATGATAGTCCTGCGCTGCCAGGAAGCTGTGACAGCATCCAGGAGACAACATAATAAAACTAAACTGCACGGCAACAACAAAGAAAGTCTCACTTTTAGCAAGTCATGCTCACTAACTTTACTCTTGGTCTTTAAAAGAGCAGCTTTGCACAACAGTTCAAACTAATTAATATTTATCTCATGCTGGGCCTTAGTTCATCCACTGTATGAAACCAGCTGTTTTAGGTCTTGTCCCTGTGTGTCTAGGACACAATTTTAGGTTTAGCATTCTTATACAGGGCTTTCTATATGTGAGGGCACATGTAAGAATCACGTTTCTAGGCTTTTAGTCCATTTTCAACCAACAAATCATTGAGTTGACCTTCAAGGCCTTGGTGGATTGTAAGCCTGACTTTACCGGATTGTTAACATGACCCCACTCTACACCCCTACAAAATTTGATCACAGTATATCTGAAACTTTTCCAGCTACTTGTTTGCGAATAGAATGTCAGCAAAAACCACCAAAAAAACCTCCTTGGCAGAGATAAGAATAGAGAAGCTGTCTGAAACTCTGAATTCACCACTGTAACAGTGTATTTCAGAAAATAAAGAAGGCCACCTTAGATAAGGCACTGAGACACTATAAGCGTCATATGATTTGCATCGTTGTAGCTGTAAAACTGTGAGGATGACCACCATCACTGTGAAACATACACTCTAAAATCCCAGAGTTGCTCAGCGAGGTCACAGCATCCAACTCCTGTGCTGCCAGTGACTTTGTCACCTCTCCTTTCCATCAACAGCTCACTGAATTATGTGACATTTTCATTACTGGCACGCTACCTGGTCTACCTCCAGGTGTGCATAATGGAGACAGCCTTGGAAAACCACCATCTCCCAGCATGCCGTTGGGAATTGGACCAGGAAGGAAGCTTAGAGCCGATTACCAGGCCGAGAGGCAACCCAAACTGTGTCATCTTCCCACTCCCTCAGCACAGAGCCCTCACCCCCCTGACCCAGGCCATCATGTGCCCGGGTGAAACACGGGGCACGTCTCTGGGACAGGAACCGCACAGGAAGCAGCGCAACTCGACAAGGACGGAAACTCGCGAATCGGGGGAGAGGGCTGGTGGTGAGAACAAATCGCAGAAAAGTAAACTTTTCCACCAACGCCACATCGCAGCAGAGGAGAGGCAAGCGGGGCGGGGGCACCGGCGCATTCCTCATTTGGGGAAGCAGCTAAGCTGGCTGTAGGAGGCGGCAGCGGAGGGATTTAGCGGGCCTCAATAGTGAGGATGAAATGAAGACGGGCTCGCAGTGTTGCTTTCAGAGGATGCTGCCAAGAGTCGTCACATTACTGATACAGAGGCAGGAAAACAGATTCAATTAATACACTGCAGCAGACAGTAATGCTGGACTCTTCAATCCAATCCGCTTAGAGAACATCTTAATAGCGCATGAGAAGGAAGAATATTGTGCTAATCTGTCTTGTCTGCGGAGCGCTCCGACATCCCCCATTGATGTTGACATCCCTTTAACATGAGGTTAGTGGGTGTTTGGCCTCCCCTCCAGTCATTTGTGAGCTGCAGAGCCTGGAAATGATTAGGCCTGGGAGGGCAATTAGCCGGAGCATCGCCGAGCTAAATATAGTCCAGCTTGGACTGTTGCTCCTGGGTCACATCTACACTGCAGCCTCTACCCAGGCATGTTAGCGCAATCTGGATCCCGTTTTGTTTTATGACTGATGCGAAGGCCGCGCTGACTCAGGCCAGATAACATAACTCAGCCGTCGATCAGGTGTCTCCAGGGGAAAGGGAGTGGGAAGGAATCGCGTAAGGAAGAATAAAGAGATGAAGTTTAAAAGAGAAGCACATGTTAACCGTGATGTTCAGAAAATACCAGTCGACTCTATGAGCTGTACAATCGAAACCTTTTGGACTTATTTCGTAACAAGCTGCCTCAAATGAAGCATGGTTGGGAAAACATGCTTTCCCACAGCCTTACAGCAGCTAAATGGTATGCAGGGAAAGAATTCTTTCCCATCGCACAGCTCCCTGCCCCGCCAGTCCCCTCTAGTATCTCCAACCCCGAGTAAAGAAAAAAAAAAAAGAAGAAAAAAAGGGGGAGATTTTATCCTTAAAAACAGGAGGTTCGCCCACTCGTTCACCTGGGACGGCTCTTGGATGGAGGAGGCAAGCTAGAGGGTTATAAGAGCCTGGGAATGTTTAACATCAAGAAAGCAATCAGAACGTAGCCGGAGCTCTGGGAATTAAGACAGGAAACATGGAGAGTAACCCCTTCCAGACCGAGAGGAAGGAGAAGAGGAAGTGATTTAGGTTTGGTGGCAAATTCATACTGTTACCTGAAAGTGTAAACTTCATTTCCGCCGATCTAAATGAAGCCATTTCACAGAAGGACTTTTTAAGGACCTGAAAAGTTTCACTTGTGCCTTCTTAGCCAGATCTCTGCTGCCTACATCAGTGATCACAAGGCTGATGAGGGGCTCAAACATAATACAAGAAAAGCACTGGAAAAATTTAAAAAAAAGCTCAACATAGGCTCTGCTTCAACTTCCCCATCACTGGTTTGACCTGGTGTATCTTTCAGCACAATATACTTGTGTAGACCGAGGTGAAACATAAGTGGAAATGTTCTGGCACTACACTGAGCTCAGCACAAATTGTACAAGACAGCTCAGGAAACAGAGGTTTGCTTTGTGCCCTGAGCAGAGAGCATTTATCATCCAATAAAACCTGCAGTAAGAGACCTATTCCTGCACTGTCCTCTGACCCACAAGTGGCATCAAACAAGACCAAGTGCCCATAGGAACTCAGGAAATACATGATAGCGAGAATTTTTTGGTTAAATTTAACTTATAATTGGGAAAATAAGTTGAAAATCAACACGTAAATTTTTTTAAACTTGGTCAAAATCCTCCCAGCTGTATTTTCTTGAGTATTTTCTTGGGTCTCCGTATCAACTTTGAAATTCTAGTATCGTGACAACCCTATTAACTATATCAGTGGCCTCACCCCCAGACTCTGTTTTCATTATGGAAAGCATGACAGTGGGATTGAGGAGATCCTTAAAGTGTTCCTTCCATCACTTGACCGTATCATCAGTTGAGGTCAACAGCATTCCCACTGTATCGTGTATAAGTAGAGCACTGCTTCCCCCTCTGACAATTTGCAAGAATCATTTTGAGGCTGACAAAAGTGTTGATCCGTGGTCTTAAACTAATCCCAGGGGAGTGGGCCTTCCGGTATCTGACCTGGTACCTCTCCCAGCATCTGTCAGCTACCTCTAGGGTCCCACAGGCTAACCAAGTCCAATAAGACCCCTCCGTCAGCCTGACAGATCCTTTCTGGTGTTCATCACCTGGATCTGGGTTTACAGGCACTAACGATTTTAGACTCCCTCAGATTGCAATCGAAGCTCTACTGGGAATTAAAGATCTCATGGACGGGCACCTCAAGCAGACATACCCATGCTATAGCTCCACCCACTTGTTCTTTTAAACCTTTTGTAAGCTGCAAACAATCACTAGAAATCTAGCTGCTAGTGGCTGGTAGCAATAGGTCTCTAACTTTTTCTGACATGCCCCACTTTCCAATTTTTGACCCACAGTTTGAGACTTACAGGCTTAAAGTGAGGATGAGGAGAGCTAAATGCCTTTATGAGCAGAAATGTGTTTTTCAAGCAATCACTGTCTTGTTTGATTTTCACAGTTAACAAGCTGCGATTTCAAATAATGGTCAGACTAGAAATCTGCCCCAAGCAGCAACATTATTGATTACTTTTAAAGATGAATCAGTCATTTGTTGTGTCCATAAAATGTCAGAACATAGTGAAAAATGGCTGTACTCTCATTAAAGCCTCTCATTAATAATGCCATCACCAGTAATTATTGGGTATTATTATTAAATTAGCCATTTTTTTCAGTTGCTTACCCAATTGTTCTACATCCAACTGCTTATACACCTACAGTACATTCACAGTATTCAGTAGATCTCAAGATATTTTTCTTGGAATCACAGACTTGCTGATGGTGCAAGAAAAAAGTAAAGACATTCACAAAGTAATAAAGATTTAACATTTTGAAACATAACACATATACGCAATTCTGTCCCAGTTCAAGTAGGAAAACCTCAGGACCGGGAAACAAATAGTTTGAAGGAGAAAAACTGTACATAGCAGTGTACCAAGCAGTAACTTCCAGAACAGGAAAACAAAGCCAATACTGTAGTTAATCAAATACCCACTTGAGGGTGTCTTCAAATGTGAATCAATGGGTTTTGGGGAGTTGGAAGCCCGATGGACTGAAAGTCGTTCCTGTTCCACTTCTTTGAGGTCTTTTTAAAGTCCACCGCCTGGGGTGCATGCGCAGTTGGTTCATTTTAATATAAAGTGTCTGTGGATGAGCGTTTGCGTTCGAAACAAACTGGCACGGATGTGGACATCCACATGAATCCTCGTTGACACAGTCTGATGACAGAATTAACAACACTCGGACCCAAAAATGGCCCCAAGCGGACTCTAGCAGACTAGAGAGACACGTGAAGTATAACGCAGGCCATGTTAAAATTACCAAGATCAGTGACAAAATAAGCATGTTTAGGGTCAGGTACAAAAATTTGTAATGGTCTCAATAGCCAATTTCCCTTTTCATCAAAACTGTACAGGAAGGTAGCCATCTGCTGGACTCACCTCCATTAAGTCTCATCTTGAACTGTGCACACTCTGTGCTGCTGATGCCTTTGAGCCTTTTGATCGAACAATCTCATAATAAAAACAGCATGCTGCGCGGTACAGCCTGCCCAAGAAGCTCATGCTTCAGTTTTAGTGAATGAAATTTTAGTATTTCATTTGTCAGATATGTTCATCTGTGTGTTCCACTTGTACAGTTTATGGACCTATCTTGCTAACCAAGCGTTAGCTCAGTGGTTCCCAAACTTTTTTTGCTGGACCCCCTTTGTTTTACAAGAAAAATTGTTCGCGCACAAACACATCCTCCAACCACACACACCCTTATTTTGCTCCATTTCGGTTTATTTCACACCTCAAACATTTAGTAAACAATTAAGCAAATACAAGTAATCTGCAATAAATTACAGGTAGTAAGAAAATAAACTACTAACTTTTTTACAGTACGTCCGCACCTACACGAGTATCTTTGAAAACGCAGCTGTTTCGTCCACACGTAAACGGCGTTTCAAATCACCGAAAACAGAGATTTTTTAAAACTCCTTTTTTGTGTTTACGTGTGGACGAGGAATACAGAGTTCGTCACGCAGCGTCAAAGGTACGTGCCTTCCACGTCACGCTGTGCGCCACGTTATTGTTTACATGAGATGAATTGCAGAATAGCAGATAGAGACAAAATACTGTTAATCTGACTATCTTCAGTTTTTACAGGCTTACATACACACACACAGTTACTGTGCCTCCATTTACAAAGGCAGAGGCGTCACGGTGTGATTATTTTACGTGTAGTTGTTTTTTTCCTGTGTAATAATATTCAACATTGCTATCAATACACTTTTCAAAAAATGCCTCTCTGTGCAAAATGGGTTTAAAAACATAAACAGCTGTGGGATCCTGTTTGTCCGTGATTTAGACGGGGGGAACAAATCGCGGCAGGATCAGCCTGATGTTATTTGTATCCCGCTGTAACTTTACTGTATAAAGAGCTAACATCTCCAAAATGTCAGGAGTAGTTAGTCATTACAACAAGTGTTGTTGAACTAAAAATCAAGAATGTGGGATACTGTTTGTCCGTGATTTGAAGAGCCCAGCGAAAACCAATTCTGCAGGGGGGACCTACCTCGGCACTTGTGCAGGTGAAACCAAAGGGAATATTTGCTTCATTATATTTTCTAGTCTTTGGCTTAGAATGAAGTTGGTTTGGAAACATATTCACTGATGCTTCATCTCCTGCTTTGCGTTTCTGTGGCCGCCCCGTGCTAGCAGTGTCCAAGCGTTTTGTTTTTTTCTCCCCCTTTTCATTCCGCCCCCCCTGCAATGGCTCTGCGCCCCCCCTAGGGGGCGGGCCCCACACTTTGGGAAGGTCTGCGTTAGCTGGTGACTCAGCACTCCAACCCCCCCTTGCTCAAAAAAAAACAAAAAAACCCAACTAAACTAAACTAACTGCAGCTAAACCAGAGAGTTCAAAATCCTTAGAGACACTGCAGGGAAACAATGCTACAAAATGCCCTTTTTTCATGAATGAGTTTCACAATAGAGGTCAACCAGTCAACCACTGACCAATCCACGATCTCTTTTACACTTCCCTTAATTCCCAACAAGCTTTCTACTTCTAGAAGAAACTCAGGAAAGAGACAGGCATAGGGAAAAGTCTAAACAGTACATGCTAGCACCACCTAAATAGCACCTACCAGAAAAAGCACACTGGGCATAATCCCAGCCATAAATCGTATCCACTTCTTGCCCACCATATGAAATTCCCTGTAAGCCCTAACATTATGGCCATACCTAAAGATAGCAGTCCAGCTTGTAGGAGCAGAATAAAACTGGAAAATACATCCATCATAAAGAGGAGGAGGTTATTTTAGCAGTGTGCGGAGATGATAAAAGTGCAGACATACTCAGTGCCCCGTTTCTAAACTGTTTGTTAATCTATCATTTGGCACAAGGAGGAATGAGATAACAATACGACGTGGCTTACGGTGAGCGTGGCCACCGTGCAAAGATCGAAGCGTGTCCTTGGAGTGACATTATTTATTGAAATAAATTCACTCAAGCTGAAATGTGTATAGCGAATGCATTATGAACAGCGCTTCTGATGGAGTGGAGAGCGCATTAACTCACCGTAACATTGCCTTGCTCTTTTCAACAGATGTCCCTTGTGTGACACACGGCGGGGAAAAATGGAGAGGAAAAGGTCTGAACGCTTTAAATTAGCCCTTTCACAAATGGAAGGGATTTTCCATTTGATGGCCTATTTGAACGTATAGACAATTCTGTGAGCCGAGATTCCGATCTTAATTACTTCGTTAATTAGCTGTGATTCATGGGGAAAAGCCTTGCCCTACCCAAAGTCCCTCTGTATTGCTTAGGGGGTTTCCAAGAAGCTCTCACATCCTCACTGACTTTTTAAAGCACCAATCTTGCACTTGTGACACTGTCTGCCTTTGCTGAAGGGCCCCCTCCCCAAAAAAGAAAATGTCAGCAAACCCCACAGAGCCAGAGAGCCTTCGAATTCTACTGCCTGAGGAAGGCGAAGCAGATCGGGCCTTCTGCTACTCCCCGTCATTCCCTGATCACAGGGATGCATTCCACAGATTTATGTTTATCGTTTTCCAATGAAAGAGTGATAGCCGGTGCAACTGCCCTGCATTGCTCCTCTCTCTCTCTCTGTGTGATAAATATAAAATATGGCCACTCGTGCTGGCTGCTTAAACTTGGCAGATCGTTGGAGCATTTAGTTAATCGGAGAAAAGCAGCATGAATAAAAAATAAATTAAAAAAAAAAAACTCTCAGGACAAAACGACAAGGCTTTGTCCAAACACCCCAACAAGAAGTTCTCACTCAACAAGATGGATCAAGCCTTTTCCCTGTCATGCTGCATCCGGATTATGTGCCACCCACAGCGCTTAGTATCTCGGACAGCCAGGGCAGAACTGGGGGGGGGAGTAGGCGTTCTGGCATGCAGGTTAGCTTTCAGAGAGCAGCAGGCTAACAAAAAGGAAAGGTAAGGTCCAGCTGAGGCAGCTGCTTGCTATTACACCATCCCAACCCCCCCAACTCCACTCTTCTCTGGCAGGAAATAAGCAATCATTTAGTACTGACAGGTACATGCTGAACCGCTGCTATCTCTGCTCTGAATCCAACCAAAAACTGGATTACAGCAGTTTAGTATTAACCTTAAGCGTCTTAAATATCTGTGCCGAGGTTAGCCTCAT